ACACTCCCACACACACACACACACACACACACACACACTCACACACTCACACACACACACACACACACGTACACACACAAAAACACAGACAGACACACACACACACATTTTGATGATTTACATTGGTGATGGATGATGATGATGATGATGATGAGGAGGAGGAGGAGGAGGAGGAGGATTAATATTGATGGTAGTTTAGTTTTTTGTTCGGTACCCAAGCTAGACCCATTTGTGAAGTACAGTGGAAGCAATTTGGGGAGATCTCGACACAAGAAGGCCACAAGTTGTACTTCAGTGGAGAAGAGGACAAGCATAAGAATGGCGTAGGATTTTTTTATTCACAAAGACATCGTGAATACCATCATGGGTTGCCGCACTATTTCTAGCCGGCTTATTACCATCCGCCTTAGAGCAGTCCCATTCAACATCACTATCATTCAGGCGTATGCCCCGACGTCAGACTATGATGAACAGGCTGTGAAGGGCTCCTACGACCTGATACAAGAAGTGATAGACCAGACCCCTAAAAAATACATCATCGTTGTACAAGATGACTGGAATGCAAAAGTAGAAAAGGATGCATGCAAGAACTGGAAAGGAACGTGTGGACAATACTGCAACTCAGAGTCAAACGAAAGAGGTCTAAGGCTCCTGGAATTTGCCAGCTATAATAACCTAGTGCTGACAAACACGTTTAGCCAACACACAGCATCACGGAGATGGACATGGCACAGTCCAAGTGGAGAACATCACAACCAGATTGACTACATCATGGTGAAAAAGCGCTTCCAGTCCAGTAGTGTCAAAATTGGGAAAACACGAACATTCCCAGGAGCAGACGTTGGAAGCGACCACGACCTTGTGATGATGACCTTTCACCTCCTCCTGAATAGGGTTAAAAAGCAAGGAAACACAAGGATGAAGTTTGATGTCGAAAAACTAAAGGACCCAGAAGTAGCTGCAGCCTTCCAAGCCATGATAGGAGGAAAGTGTGCACCACTCACTGTCATTGATGCTGGTAACAACAATGACACAGACATGGACACGTGGATCAACACCTTCAATACAGCTGTGACTGAAACAACCAGTCAGATCCTCGGAAAACACCGACGAGTCAATAAGCCCAGGATCACAACTGACGTCCTTAACCTGTGTGACAAAAGGAGAAAACTAAAAGAGAAAAAGAAACAACCAGATGGTGCGAAGGAGTACAGAGCAGTCAGCCAAAAATGTTTTTTTTAAGTATGAAAAGGGCAAAAGAAAATTGAATCGAGGGACAATGCCAAATACTTGAAACTTGATGGCAGCCTGAGGACAAACAACAGCAAAAAAGCGTACCAATTAGTAAAGGACCTGACGTGCACTAAAGAAGGGCGCACCACCACCATTCAAGACAAACAAGGAAAATGCCTGACAGAGGAACAAGACATTTATAAAAGATGGACAGAACACTGCTCAGAATTGTACAACTACAAAGCCACGGGAAACCCTGAGATACTAAACAACATCGATAACCACCCAATCCTTAGAGAAGAAGTTGAAGCAGCAGTTAAAGCACTGAAGAAAGGAAAATCAGCAGGAGTGGATAACATCCCAGGAGAATTAATACAGGCAGGGGGAAAGGACATGATACGCGCTCGACTGCCATCTGCAACAAGATCTGGCAGACAGGAAAGTGGCCAACACCATGGACACAATCACTAGTGATTACACTCCCCAAGAAAGGTAACCTGCAACTATGTCAGAACTACCGCACCATCAGTCTAATAAGCCAGCCCAGTAAGTTTATGTTGAAGAGAATGCTGAACAGATTTAAACCACAGGCAGAAAAGATCTTTGCCGAAGAGCAGGCAGGCTTTAGAGCAGGGCGGAGCACAAAAGAGCAGATCTTCAACCTCAGGATACTGTGTGAGAAGTACCTCCAACACCAACAAAACCTATACCATATCTTCGTGGATTTTAAAAAGGCCTTCGACAGGGTCTGGCATGCAGCCTTAAGGGCAACCGTGAGGAAATATAACATAGACGCAAACCTGCTCAACGTCATACAACAACTATATGACAAGGTCTCCAGCGCAGTCTACCGTAACGGCAGCATGGGGGATTGGTTCAGGACAACGGTCGGGGTGAGGCAAGGCTGTTTGCTCTCCCTCGCTCTCTTCAACATCTTACTAGAACAAATCATGACTGACACTCTGGAAGGACAACATTACAGAGTGGACAGAAAAGACGATGGGTGACAATCTGTGGAAAGCAGAGGACAAAAATAGATGGTGAGAGCTGGTTTTCAGATGCAATGATGCCCCCACCGGTTGCCCCAATCACAGGAAAGAAGAAGAAGAAGAAGAAGAAGAAGAAGAAGAAGAAGAAGAAGAAGAAGAACGCCTAGGTCTTCATGGATGTTGAAGCTCAGTTCAATTTTATTTTAAGTTTAAGTTTTCTTTTTGTTTGCTGTTGTTGTTTAATCATATAACATACACGCATACACAATACTGCACCTGCTGATCGATTACTTAAACGTGGGCTGCAAATGAATAGAGCGACATAATATGAGTTATTGTTTGTTTTTCCACGGTTGGGAGGGGGGCGGAGGAAGACAAAGTGAGTAATTGAGTTTGTTAAGAAAAAGGACAATTTCATACTTACAAAAAGGATTGATTTTATGTAATGTTGTCTACACTCGTCTTCTACTGATGTAAAGCCTAGGTCTTCGTAGAGTATGAAAGGGGTTAAGACTGAGTTAATTATTTGATATATTGATTCGCTATTGTCTCAAAATGAGCAATTAATTCTATCCTGGGATACTGTAAATCACTCATTTATCCTGGGCGCACACCCAAACAGCATTGTTTAATATAGGGTACAAATAATTATATACTGACGACATTTTAAAATGCAACACTAGTCGGTTTATCTTAAACGTTCACAATATTTTCTATAATAGGCGTTGATTGGCAATGGTGCTTGGCTACACAACACCCCATCTTCCATGAACCCCTGCTGCTGCTGTTGCACAATATGCTGTTTGGCATCGGTTCCGTAAATTCGACAGAAAACTACGCCAATCTTATCGGAGGGTGGTTACGCCTGGTAAGCTACTTTAAATTATCTAATCCCAGCAACATTGACAGTTGTCCTTTTCTGTTTAGCCAGCCATGAAGGGGTGCTAGAGTTGCAACTAAATTTCTAGCTGCTTCTCAGTCACATTCCTGATTCCAGAGGGCCGATACGAGCGCCTTGTTGTAGTCAGCGGTGCTAAATCTAGACATTATACTGTTTGAGCGACGCACAGCAAAAGATTGTTTTTAATTGTTTTGTTTTTTGTTTTTGTTTTAACAAGTGATCTTCAAGTCCATTGCATTCATTTTTTCGGAATTTTCCTCACCCATATGGCCACACCGTGTAAAAGGCCCTATTTGCATTATTTGGAGATTATCTGGCTTATTTAAAGGTAGTACAATCACAAAAATCCCTATGAGTACATTTTAGCGATAGGCAAATGACATAAAAAAGAACTCAACATCAAAAGACTTTGCAGAGTATCATTAATCTGTGATTGAAAAGTATTGCTGTGCACCGACTGGCCCTTTATTCCTCTCCGGAATGGCGGCGCGCCCCTCAAGTCTGACGCTCGTGACGTCACAGCTAAGACCTCTAGTTCTATTTATAACCTCCTTGAATGCGCACAAAGTTTTGTCAAATATGTCCCTGTTCTACCGCATGTAATTAAATGTGACGGCGACTAGCACCGTACATAATGTACATCTGAGTTAAATGCGTCTCTGGAGACAAAATGTCTGGCATAAAGTCATGTACCCCACGGTGTTCACGTTTATCTGAATTCCAAAGTTTCATCTTTTTTAAAAGGATGTCCGCGTGGAATATATTGTTGAGAATTTTGAAGTGTAATAATATAAATCTACCTTCCTTGGTTTTTTCTGCAGCTACTGGAAATAGATTTGTTATCTTCAGCTTATATTTCCTTAACCAAAAGGCCCGCTATGTAAGCCGGACAGCTATCGCACACTTGCTGACAGAAATTCTGACGGCACCAAGGTTCTTCACCCTGCACATGAAACATGGCTCATGCATCATGTACAAGCTAGCAATTCCATTCACAATGATGGATCACGCATAAACCTATGGATGAAACAAGACCGTGGACGATCTCACGGAGGGACTTGAGCAGTGCGTGTCGTCCAAGGCCGACGTGGCACAAATTTTATGGTGACATTCGCTGTGAGTGGTGTTGGTGGCCTCATACCACGAACCCTGGAGGAGGAATGACAGGTGGCCTACGGTTGATGCATCTTCCACCTTGAATAACCCATCTGCACATGGTCAAGCAGCTAAACTGCAATTGCCTCCAAAATTTTGGTCTCCGGTTTCTGCGTCCTTACTCTCCATTTTGAGGTATATTCTGCGAAAATGCATTTTGGTTTTTATAGAAGGCACAAACAAAAGAAAGACCGGCCGAAGTTTGCCACCAGATCCTGAATCAGCCCTGCGTTGAAGGAACGACAACCTTAACTTAAATTGTGGAAGATGTAGTTGAATTGGTCACTGCTCCAATTATGCAAGCTGGTTTTAAGGGAATGCAAGCGTATTTAATTTCGCCTACCTGTTTTGGAAAACAAGACATGTACATGTAATTTCAAGTTTTCTTACATTTCACGTGCTTGGGGACGTATGAGAGTTCACATACTTTGGGACGTATGAGAAGTGGGGTATTTGTTTGTAACTGTTATTTGCACCAGCAAAGCAATGAGGAACCTGCTGTCTGATGTTAATAAATATTTTCTTTTCATGTATTCAATCGCTTAAAATCATTTCAAGTAAGTGCCCCCACTAAAGGAGGAGGAGGAATAGAGTTGTTGTTGATTGGAAAGGTTTTACAGCATTGTTATATTTGTACTTGCAGTGTCACAAATTTGTTTCTGCGCTTATTCACGTTTGAAATGGCAGTGTTCACATTTATTGAACGCACCACATGCAAGGTTGCCCTTTCTACGCTCATAATACTACGAGTAAGACATTGCATGTCCGATTTGGCCTTTATATGTCACATTTGAACTTGATAGGCTCACATTTGAAGAGAAAATTACTATTTTAAATTTAGTGCTCGGCTCAAGCTGTTTAAACAGTCTACACAAAGAGTGATGTCATCAGCATACTGAAGTGCTTATAGTCCTGTTGTGACCCATGGTTCCGCATCCACTATGCTCTTAAAATATGAGGGGGGGGGGTAGGTTGGAGGAGGGTGAGGAAGAAGTGAGAAAGAAGGAAAGGATAGGAGGGAAACGAATGGGAGGGGGGGTAATAATAATGAAGGAGTGGGGTAGCAGGAGTTAGGATTGAGAAGAGAGTGGAAGGTGGGGGGGGGGGCGGATGTGTTGTTTTATGCTGTGAGGGAGGGGTAAAGGGGGCTGAGAGATATGGGAGGGGGGAGGGGAAAGGATTAAGTAGGGTTTGGGGGGGAGGGGTTCCTACGAGAAATCTGGAAATCAATAATCATCTGAGAATGCTGACATTTTCCTCTTTATTATAAGAGGAATGACAACTGTTGAATCCATACAAAGTACAACTCTGTTCTTATCTTGTCTTTGAAAATGATTTTTATGTGTTTTGATTCGATTGTAAAGCCTTATTTAGTCATCATAAATGCTTAAAACCCCCTCCAGCACAACCTTTATCATTTAGTTTCCTTCTCAATGTAACTATCATCTTAAGCGGTAATAAAAGGTTGGGGGGGGGGGGATGAGCTCAAATCCCAGTATAAAGAAGAGCACACTCGACTCAGTAATATTTTTCTCAACGTGGGATCATATGAAATCAGAGACAGTGCATTATAAGATGGTAGGGGTTTTTCATTACCAAAAATAAGAAACAGATTCCCAACACTATATTATCACTACGCATTTGTTACTATTTTTAGGGAGTGGAATTTTCCATATAAAGAACAAAAGCAAAAATTTTCCAATTCAAGACGTTCACCTGCCTAAGACAACCACCTTTCTCCTCTAAAAAATGGCGGTTGTCTTGAACACTTCCGAGATTATATTATAAACCAGTTCAATATAAAAACACGTTAAATGCAGAATTGTGTACCCTGCTACACGTTAACCTTTTACATATCTTGTCCTTGCGACATTTTTTACACTAATGTTCTGCAGAAAGTGCACGCAACAAAGTGTAACAGATCACAGGCGCGTCGTGAGATTACCCAGATGGCGTCCATTTAAAGGATGGGCGGAGACAAAAAGAGAGGAAATAACGATAAAAACCGGGAGCAGTTGCCGGGTGACTGGAGCCCATAGATTTATTTTCTCCCAGATCGGGCATTGTCGTGGCCGCTGCCACTCTATTAAGACGTTGCTGCGAAGTAGGCACGCCATATGTCTATACAAAGAACCTAATTTTTGTTCTCGTCTTTTCTTCTATAGTGATTTTCTTTTCTGTTTTGTTTCGATAGAAAAGCCTTTTGTGGTAATCATAAATGTGGGCCGACTATCAGTCTTATTACAGTCAAGTGTACTAGCGTTGCACCTTCCCTCATTGCTCTTCATCTGGCTTAAAGTCTCTCGACTTGGTGGAATCAGGCGCTCGTCAGTTTTAGGGCATATATGGAGCAACTGGTATTACCTTAAAGCTAGTACATGTATCTTTCTTTTGATTACAAAATACCATTTTTTCTTTAATAGAAGTCGATATATTCACGAGTGAAGAAGGTGGGGATCGCCTGATGTCAGAGGTAAAATTATCGAGAAAATTGCCGCCAAAGTTTAGTGACATCTAGAGCTTCAGTGTCTATAGAAATTGCTAATTTACATATTTGTTGTGCCTAGGATCAACGTTTTTCGTAAAAATCCGTGTAGAAACGCGCTTTAAATGGACATAAATAGTGTTATATCAAAAATATTTTTTTTAAATAAAAATAAACAAAAATTGACCAACGAGCGAAAAAAAATGAGTTTCCTCCATGTTTTTTTCTTAAAGAGAGACTGATTTCACCTTGGTGACTCACAAGTAAAAAACAGTGTGCACACCATAGTGGAACGGATATAATCCAGAGTGCGCGATCTAGGATATTTTATTATAAATCCATGGTGGCGTCTCAAAGGTCAGACCGGGAGAGGAAAATGCCAGTACGCGGTGACGTCACAGGCTGGCTCAATGAGGCGTGCGAGTACAGGGAAAATATCGATGTAGTGGCACGGAATTGTTTTGTTTCGTTTTTGCTTTTAATGTAGATATTTTGCACCTTCAACGACACAATTCAGATCATTTCAGAGGCAAGTTTCGATCATGCCTGACAGGGCCAAACCTGGCTGAGACGGATTCACCGCCCGTGAATCGAACTCAAGTCTTCTGCGTGCCACAGTGAAGCGCCTGGCTGTTACGCCAAAAGCCATTAAAACGACGGTCGTAGCACATAATATATTGATATATATGTATAATATATACTAGCACATTATTAATTAACCCTTTCACTGCCACGTCGGCTCCACAAACCTACCAGAGCTAGTGTCCGAACAACACAAAATGGACAACTTATCGATCTCATTACATGGAATCTAAGTGGAGAATCTCTCTGAAGTTTTGCGTCCTCATCTGAATTCTAAAAGACCTGTAAAATCTCGATGTTCGTGCTAGTGCGACAAATATAAAGAGTTGCTGTCCATATAATCATTAGTAATTAATTGCTCATTAAACTCAACACCGCTCATTTTTATAGCAAGCACGAGAAAATCATAACAATACAAGGTGTCGTTGCAGGTGCTCAGCCAAAATTTTCAGGAAAGGGGGTGGGGGGAGATACAGTTTGGTCAAAGCCAAAACAGTGGATCAACCGAGTGCTAAATTTGAAGTATAGGCATGTCGACAAGATATCCGTTTGGTATTGTCCGGAATATAGGGCTGGGCAGTTTTTTCGTGGGTTTTTTTTTATTTTGAGGGAGAGGGGGGATGGGTGGTAAGTGTTTTACGGCGCTCGCAACTGCATAAGGTCATATGAGCGCCGGGACACATTAAACATTTTTCAGTTGTCAGGAAATTTTGAATTCGGCTCGGGTGGCGGCCGAAGCCTACTCTTATCGATTTTAGACCCCCAAGGGATCTTTGACGTGAGCAACCTGCAACCGAGACCTCCGAGATTTTTTGCCCTTGTCCTACCAGAAGATGAAGGGTGTGGCTGAAATACAACAGTAAGAAGGAGTCCAGGAGTAGACGTAGAAAGGCTACAAAAAGAGTTAGGAGCCCAGAGGAGGGGGCAAAGGAGGTGAGGAGGTGGGGGCAGAAAGAGGAGACGAAAGCAGACGACAGAACATTGATAGAAAGGAGGAAAAGAGGTGAAAGGAGACAATTTTAGCGAAGAAAATTTTTCGGTCGCTACCCGGATTCGAACCCGGGACCTTTGAAAGAAAGGCGAACATCTTAACCTCTAGGCCACGAGAGCCATCATGTAGTGTGTAGTAGTATGTAGTAGTATAGGGTTTTACGGCGCTCGCAACTGCTAAGGTCATATGAGCGCATGTAGTGTGTGCGTGAGTATAAATACATGAAAATGTATGACTACCCGCCTATGTGAGAGTGAAGGACAGCTTGCAAGTCTGTTTGTTCACTCTCGTGTGTGTCTGTGTGTGCATTTGTGTTTGTATTTTTGTGCGTATAATATAATGAAGGCGCATATGCGTGCTAGAGCATGCAGGAAGCAAGAGTTAGAGGAAAGTTGAAGATAGAAGTGCTGTAGGGATCAACAAACTACAGCCCGTGGGCAAATGCGGCCCGCCATAAACATTGGGCGAGTTTATAAAAAAAACGAGAAACAATAAATTGTGTAAAAAAATAATCACATCTGCAAAAATACTACAGACAAGACTAGTTTTGGGAGAGAAATTTAAAGGAAAATGTGTTTGCAGAATTTGATAAAATTAAATCATTTTAGTATCGTAATATATATGTATAT